TCGAATCCCCGGTTGTACGTGACAAGGAGTAGGTTCGCCTGTCCAAACGCGTGGGTTGTCTCCGGGTCCTCCGGTTTCCTCCCACTGCTAAAGAAACTACGCGCAAGCGAATTATTGAAATAAAATTAAACCATATGTTAGTCCCGAAATGACCTAGTTTTTGTCGAGTGGACGTTAAACCCCATTTCTCTCTCTCTCTCTCTCTCTGTCTCTCTCTCCCTCTCTCATTTACGTTTAATGTATCCAGAAAGTGAGGGATAAACTATTATTCACAATAGACCAAAGGGATGTAGACGATATCTGTATTTCTTTATGGTTATATGGAAATTATTTTTTGCGTCTCACATACTATGACCCAATTCGACGGAAACTATGTTTTTGCGTCTTATATTCTATGACCGAAAAAGACACCAGTTTGATTACAGCCAAATCGTTTATTTTAATGTATATGAAACTACTTTATTGGACATCCGTGTCCAACCCATAAGCGATATGACATAAACGTATATCTTCAAATAGATTGTTTATTATAAAATGGTCATGTATTTGACGCCAGTATTTATTATAAACGCTTTAACTAATGGCACATCAATCGGATTAACACTATTGCCAGTTGAGAAATTGCAAAAATATCATTTTCAACTTCCAATTTAAAACGTTTGAAGATAGCTATTCCATGGGGGAATGGAATAACAAGGGGGGGGGGTGTTATTATTTCCGGGGTGAATGATTTTTAAGTGTGAGAATGATACCTATGATCGTATAATAGTGAGTTGATAACCTATTGAGCAAAAGACATAGAATTAATTATGTTTTGATTTTCTTAGAAAATATATGAAATTCTCGCTTTAATTATATTTATATGCTGATTGCTTGAAACCCATTTGTTTCGTAAAAGCCGACATAATTATTTACATCGACTTCATTGGTGTTCATATTGTAGACCTCTCTCATACCTCTCTTTCGGTCGTAGTATGCCCATTCCACATGTAGTGGATACTGTTATCTCCCTTTAGTTACTCATTATACAGAGAAGGAAAATTAAATGACCGCCCTAGATATATTGATGCTGGGAAGATGAAGAGCAAATGGCGTGTTTGTTCTTTTTAAAAACTAGTCTTGATAAAATAAAGTGCTCCTGAATAGGATAACAATACAAGACTATATTAGCGGCGTCGATAACAATTTCACACACATCTTATTTAAATCCGAACCTCATTATTATAGGTGTATTGTTGGCGTACAATATATTCTGATCAAAATGATACGGGAATATGGCTCCAGTGACTGTCTTGATTATGAGATTGATTAAACCAATTCTCGTAAAGATAAATCACTCTTTTAAGCTATGCTAAATTGTCTCGCTCATTTCATATATACTATTCAAAAAAAGTAGGGGATATTTGATTTTGGGGGCATAATACTAAAATATGCAAATGACTACGAAAAAAGTCACTATAGAACCTAACAGAAGAAACATTTCCAGTTACATGTGACGCCCAAACGCACCAATAGCTACCGCATGGAATGCATGTGATGCTTGGGATCATCATAGGGGTCCAACCCAAGATTTGCACGACTCTGACTTTGAATGTTACAGTCATTGTGGCATTGAATTCCAGGGTGGAAACATCAGTTTAATTGTTTTAGTGACCAGAAAACAAATTTTGATATGCGTCGGCTTACCCAAAATGAAAGGTTACGTGCCCTTGGCATGCTACAGATCGGCACAACACAGGCGGTTGTGGCGCGGACGATGAATGTTTCTCAGTCTGTCATAAGCAGGCTATGGTCCAGATACCGTGATACACAATCTGTACAGGACAGACCACGCTCAGGTCGACCAAGGGCGACAACTCAAGCCCAGGATCGATTTATCCGTACCTTGGCCTTGAGAAATTGTGTCATCACAGCAAATCAGATCAGCGCTCGTCTTCAAACAGACACTGGTGTGAGAGTGAGTGGCCAGACGATTCGGAATCGACTGCATAGGGGTCACCTTCGCGCCCGACGTCCTCGCGTGATCCCTTGTTTGAGAGATCATCACATTCAGGCAAGACGTCGTTGGTGTAGGGATCGTCAACACTGGGATAATCGACGCTGGAGCAATGTGATGTTTTCAGATGAGTCAAGGTTCACTGTTGATTTTTTGGACAGACGTAGGAGGGTGTGGCGTCGTCGAAACGGGCGCTTCCAAGACGTTAACGTCATCAGACATGATCGATTTGGGGGTGGTTCTGTTATGGTGTGGGGAGGCATCACTGTTGCTGGAAGAACGGCTTTACATGTTGTTGCAGGGCGTGTTACAGGCCAGTACTACCGGGACAACATCTTGGCAGTCCATATTGTGCCGTTCGCACGACGTCATGGCCGCCGTTTCATCTTCCAGGATGACAACGCAAGATGTCACAGGGCCAGGATCGTTACAGGTTACCTCCAACAACAGAACATCACCACATTACCTTGGCCAGCACCGAGTCCCGACCTCTCCCCCATCGAGCATGTCTGGGACATGCTTGGACAGGGGTTACGTCAACGTCAACAACGTCCTGCCAATGTCCAAGAACTTGCTGCTGCGTTGCAACAGGAATGGGACAATCTGGACCAAAATGACCTTAGACGTCTCATTAGGAGTATGCCACGTCGGATCAATGCTTGTTTGGCAAACAGAGGAGGATTTACCCGTTACTGACTTGGTTGTGATGCAGTGGTAACTTTGCTGTTTGACCCCGGGTATCATTTTACCCTTATAATGGTCAGTCTGTGCCTTACTTAGTCTAACGATCATTTGGAATAAATCGATGAATGTGAACTTCATTTCATTTTGTCATTTGTTTCTTCGTCAGTTTCATTAGGTGACTTTAATAACACTTAAAAATCAAATATCCCCTACTTTTTTTGAATAGTATATATGAAATATTATTCCGTAGTTAATTGTTTTATTTTACAAGGGGTTTAATGAATCAAGGGTTAATGAATACACATCTCGGCTGTGTATATAGTAATCAAGGAATTAACATTTCTAATATGCATTCAGTCACTCAAGTCAAGTAATGTTTTTTTTTATAGTCGATAAAAACAACTGTACAACATACGCTCTAGTGAGCTATTAAAATCGACTTTCACAAAATATTTATCAATAATAAACATCATCGGACAAAACATAAACCGGGCACAAAGCACTAAATTTATAGCACAAAATCAATTTTCAAAGAAAATCAGTCAGTATATTAAGATCAGGGCATATATAAGAGCACAAATCACTACATGGAAAATAAAGAAGAAATAAGCAAACTTAAGCATGTAGCAAATAAAAAGTACATATTTGACGTCACAGGCGTTTGCGGAGTTATCGTTGGCAAAATCGTTTTATGGGAGGTCTATGTTTGGGACTTTGAGTGAATATGACTCAATTAATTTTAATCATATTGGGATGAACTTGCCGTGAAGTGTATATAGTAATCACTGACTATAAGTACATAAAATTATGTTTGGCCATTTTATGTGCTCTTTACCCGTGTTGCGTGCCTCTAAATGATCGATTCAACAACACACGACGGAAATGTCAAATTCAAACCCTTGGTGTCAAAATTACTGGTCAACAAAACTTATCTAATAAATTAATTATTTTTGAGAAACGATGCTGAGTGTTTCAGTACAACATTTCTAACAGTATTAAAAAACACGTTTAAAGCATTTGAATGTTTTGTAGGACTAAGACTAGTAATTATTTCCCCGCATTTCATTACACACACACACACAAAATGTAGCATCCAGAGGGTTCACAAGGCTTTAGGCAAAGGGGGTGGCGGGATAACTCTGAAACGAGAAGTCATAGAACGGTCATTATCGGTAGGGTGCAAACGCTCAGGACCAGGTGCTACACACTGTATTTCAACCAATTCCGTTAAAAACTAGCCTCTATCACAAGGTTATCGACAAATGGGGCTATCTATGGAACAGAAAGTTGCAAAATACTTGCGAATTGTGTCACACGGATGTGAGTCTACTGAAAATGTCGGGGAGGAACGACTCGCTACCCAACTCACAAATACCAACAAAAAAAAACTACTCCTGAAATAATTTTATCAATTCAGAAGTAGTTTTGTCAATATACGGTTTTGACAAACAAATAAAGTACCAACATACAAACTCACATATAATTCAAATGGGTCAAATCTACAAACTGAAAAGGGTTAACAAATGTAAATTGTTCCGAAAAAAATCCAGTTAACCGAATGTTAAACCGCTAAAAACACGTCCTACTATCTTCAACAGAAAATTCAATGTCAACAAATACCCATTAGCCTAGGTATAAGGAACAAATTACCATTGAAGAACAAACCTGATGTTTGTGTAGTATGCTTTCATGCAGTTAGAGACAGCTGAAAACCGCAAAGAAGGTTATAAACAGACGCAATACACCAATCATGTCTTATCTCGACGACATTATTCACGCCTCCTTTCCCATCCAAAAAGAACTGCTACAATTTGGAACTGTAGCGTTCACACCACAATTAACAAAATTAGTGCAAATTGACATGGTAGCAACATACTTTCTTGATTCCAATGCTAAAATTTAGACATGTAGCGTGTTCACAGTGTCCACAACACAATTAACAAAATACAGCAAATTGACATGGCAGCCCACATACTCTCTTGACTTCAATACTAAAGTTTCGCTATTTTTATTCTGGTTGCTTTCCTTGACTTTTAACTAGGTTCGTTAAGTAAATTGTGTTTGATGACCAGAGAAACATACTATATTATAACGGCGGATTTCTCCGCCCCCTTGTGTTGTAATCATACCTATAGTAATATAAGATACGATAATTATGTTAAACCACATTCCATTCCTGGTGAATTTAATTATTTAAAAACGACCACTTGAATGTTTGTGTCCGTGTTGATTGTTATTAGAATATAGTTTCTATCCAAAACGAACCGTCGTGTTCAGATTTTGAGTCAAATATCATCATAAATTAGCATCCTCATCAGATTCATCTAGTTAATTTAATTATACCTATGTTATGAGCACTCCCATAAGACTCATCTATTCTGTTTATTCTCACACGTATTGTCCATGTTTCGCAACTAGACGATTTACCAGGGGTTGGCAATACATAGATTTGTTTGCATGAAAATTTATGCTGGTCTGGATAAGATAATAACATTTCTTTGGGGGTTGAAATCTCTACCGTAAATTTACAGAGAATTTGCCTGAAGTCACCACCCCCCTCATAACTTAATCCAATCTCTATTGAACCGTAGGTCTGTGCTTGGTGTTTAAGTCCTATACGCCAACGAGTATTTTTGATCTGCTGTTCCGGTGAATAAAACCATTTACTACAATCCAATCTAATAGACGTAAGATCAAATACGTGCTCGAGAACCCCATCATCTACATCGTTAGATAACGCTCCAAGCAACTGGTATAATAGATCTATATTGATATATGATGGGGTAAAGCTTGCTGTATTTAAACTTGGTAGAGCTTCGGAAGAATCACAATCTGTCTCTGTTTTTAAAGTCATTAATCTTTTGATGGCATCATTAGAGGTAACTACAGATTTATCTTTCATCAGTTCTTTTGTATAAACCAAGCTGCTCTGAATATTGTAAATATCACTCTGCCGTCTCTCTAGAATGTTCACAAGCGCAGTTCGTTCCTCGGTTTTGGTTCTTTGTAGCTGACTTTTGAAATGGTCCCCCAGTTTTTTGGTGGCATCACAAATCTTTTGTACTTGTTCGTCGACCTCTTTACAAACAGTTTCAGTTGCGTCATCATATACGGTTAATTCAGTTTTAATGGATTCGACGTAGGATTGGATTACTGAAATTCGTTCCTTCAAGTCCTGCATAAGTTGTTGTATTTCTTTTACTAAGGTAGACTGAACATCCTGTAAATCTTCAACGTTATGGTCTCGATGATGGTCTTCCATACATTTACAACAGATTTCTTGGCTACAATCTGAGCAGAATTTATTCATAGCTTCTTTATGGTGGACCTCACAAACACCCACAGGTTTCTCAGACTCTGACACGATTTCGAACAAATCATCAACATAAAAATTAATAGCAAATCCCTGGGCTCCATTTTCTGGGACACAGATCGCCTTTCTGCATACTGGACAATCAATCTTATTATCAACAGTAAATTTGTTGATATAATCATCCAGACAAGTTTCACAAAACGTATGATGACAGTCGATTATCCGAGGTTTGGTGAATCTATTTAAGCAGATACTACAGTTAAACTTGTTATTGAAAGCTGCCATTGCCATGTAATCCACGTAACTATTCAATCAACTGTCTTTCGTGAGGTAAATCAATGTTTACATATAATAATATCACCTAAGTCGTCGTCGCCATGGTTAGGTAACTCTATCCTATCTTTACACAATAGTTGTAATTAAATATTTATTTTTATATACTCCGGTCATGTGTGTGACAACCTGTTATTAAATGTGGCCATACTTGTATATCAGGGGATCACGTGGCTAAGTGGGTAAGACGCTAGCTCGCTAGCCTGGAGGTCGGGTGTTCGATCCCTGCATTGGCCGAGAAAGTTCATCCAGATTTTCCGGCGTGGTTCTTCCTTGTCAGTGACCTTGTCAGTGATGCAGGACGGAGGGGCTGACAAGGAAAGCTGTCTAGTCGGTCGGATGGGACGAAAAACCGAGGTCCCGTGTACACATTGGCGTACACGTAAAAGATCCCTTGGCAGTTGGAATTCGATATAAGAGTAGGCCGTAGTGCCGCTGTCCGGGCAAAATTTCCCTCATAGCACACTGTATGGCGTATGCCCGTCTTCATTAGCCCAGGTTAGGAGCAGAACAGTAGGACGTTAAACCCCATTTCATTTCATTTCATTTCACTTGTATATCATATACATTGAAAACAATCACTGGTTTATCTACATATAGCACGACGTTTCGACAAGTATTTCTCTTATCGTTATCAAGTACAGATGATAATTAGTAAACTAAAAGGTAATATTTAATATTTATAGTGCTACAAAAAAGAAGCCATAAGACACAATACAAAGTGATTGGTTCAATTGGTAACATAACATTTTTAACACGCGAATAAAAAACAAATAGGGTATTTGATAGGGGCTCAATATAACAATATAATATAATCAAAGCGTGGGGGGTTACATGAAGTTAATTAAACAATTAATGTACACAATTGAATAAGATATAAATAATAATTGAATACACATTTCAAACCTTTTAATTGTTGTTAGTTTAGTATGATAACAATTTATAAGATGATTAATACAGAGGATTTTATTAATTGTTGTTAGTTTAGTTTGATAACAATTAATAAGTTGATTAATACAGAAGATTTTATTGGGCTTAACATACTGATTATAGTGTTAGCTAGTTCAGCATGTACACATTGGTAAAAATCCTATTCATTAAGATTATTAACATGTATAGTACTGTGGTCTTTGCGACCATATTTTATCTTTAACTAATTATTAGGTTCACATACACACATTGTATAGAAATCATATCTAATGCATTCAAATGATGATTGATGGATTGAAACATATAAAGAGTTATAATTTGGTAAACAATAGCTGGTTCTGTGGGAATCAGAATATCATGTTTAACACGTGATTGGAAATTTACCAGTTGCATCATACACTTTAACCATCCAATCAAATTCATTATTTGCAGAATCGTAAGTCATGGCGTAAGCAAATTTGTGTAAAAGCCCAAACCAGCCCTATAAGATTCATATATCATTGGGTTCCGTACATATACCATCTGAGTTCCTAGAGACTGCCTCTGAATTCTCAGAGAGGGTAGATATCACCTTGGCTCTTTAGATGATCATATGATGTAGCCGGTTCCCGAGTCGTGCTCGTTAGACTTTCACAGGAGTTGGAGATGAGAGATGAAATGAAATGAAATGTTGTTTAACGCCCTGCTGTTCTGCTCCTATACTGGGCTAATGAAGATGGGCATACGCCATACAGTGTGCTATGAGGGACATTTTGCCCGGGCAGCGGCACTATCGCCTAGTCTTATATCGAATTCCAACTAATGTATACACGGGACCTCGGTTTTTCGTCTCATCCGAAGGACTAGACAGCTGTCCTTGTCTGGCCTCCGTTCTGCACCACTGACAAGGGGAAACCACGTCGGAAAATCAGGATGATCTTTCTCGGCCAATGCAGGGATCGAACACCCGACCTCCAGGCTAGCGAGCCAGCGTCTTAACCACCTAGCCACCGTGGCTCCCGGAGTTGAGAGAAAGATATTATTTAGAAGTATGCTTGTATCTTATGTAACCAGTGCTTGATATATGAATGTAAAAACGAACTGTTGCATTGTTATTCATGCTAAGACAAAAGCTTTAACAGCAATGAGAATTTAGCCGCCTTAACAGCGGAGATAAGAAAATACACAACGTGAAAAGGAAGCCAAAGACGACAAGTGAAAATACTAGACGATCACAAGGCTATTAAGATATGTAGTAAGAAAAGAATGCATGGGTCATATGAAGGATGTGGCGACCGGACTTGCTCGGTCCCCTTTCCATGTCTGACAAAAGACCCATGGTACTACACAGTAATGGTTGAGTGTACATTTGTGAACTGGGGTAGAGACGAAATGAGAGAAATGTAACTGGGCTGTCAGAATAATTGAATATGTCCTGAACTATATTATGAATAAACAAATAATTATTATCACTTCTCCTTTACTATCAGCTTATCGAAGGCCCTTGGAATATATAACCCTGTGTCTCTTCTGTTTAGTTTTGGGCTGTGACGAATGGTTATCGCACAAAATCAATTTTAAAAGAAAAGCCGTAAACATATTAAGATCAGGGCATATATAAGAGCACACATCACTAACATTGAACATAAAGCAGAAATAAGCAAACTTAAGCATATCAAATAAAATGTACGTATTTGACGTCACGGGCGTTTGAGGGAATTATCATTGGCAAAATCGTTTTCATGGGAGGTCTATGTTTGGGATTCAGTTATTTTCAATCAAATTGGTGTGAACGTGCCGTAAAGTATATAGATATAGTTACCGCTGACTATAAATGCATAAAAGTTTGTTTGGTCACTTTATGAGCTCTTTACCGGTGGCAGGTGCCGCTAAATAATCGATTCAACAAAACACAACGGAAAGGTCAAATTCAAACAGTTGGTGGCAAATTGATCAACAAAACTTTACATACAAAACGGGATATAACACAATAAGGGGAGTTAATCAGTTCTGGAGGTCTTATTGAGTTTTGTGCGGGAAATAACTTTTCCGTTAACTAAAAGGGATTAATTGATTAATTAATTATTTTGAGAAACGATGCTGAGATTTTCAGTACAAAATATCTAACGGTATAAAAAAACATTAAAAAGATTTGAATGTTTTCTAGGACTAAGACTGAAATTTATGAAATACTGTGCGAATTGTGTCACACGGATGCGAGTCTACGGCAAATGTCGGGAAAGAACGACTCGCTGCTCAACTCACAAATTCCAATCAAAAAAAAACTACTCCTGAAGTGATTAACCGCATATTGACAAAATTTAAAAAAAAAACACACATATAAGCTCACATGTAATTCTAAGGGTTCAATCTACAAACTGAAAAGGGTTAACAATGGCGATGGTTCACGGCAGTTCAAATTTCAAAAAAATATTGTTGAAGAACAAACCTACCTAACGTTTGTGAGGCGTGTTTTCATGCAATTAGAGACTGGAGAACCGCCACTAATGTTATAAAAAAAGACTCAATACACCAATTATACCTTACATCTGCACCATTGCTCACAATTCTCCCAACAGTAAAGTCTAAAATTTTAACCCATAGCGTTCACACCACATATATAGTTTGTATATATCTCTTTATCGTTTTGCCGAGATATTAACCCTAATTCCATTCCTCGTGAATTTGTACAGATCTCCATTAATTACTTAAAAAAGACCACTTCGTTTGATCCTTGTTAGAATATAAAGTCTATCATTTGAACTGTAAAAAAATCCAAAAAAAAAACACACCGGCAAATAGCAACATAAATCAGCATCTTCATAAGACTCGTCTAGTAAATTGGTCTATGTTTTATAGATAAAACTTATCCATTCTGTTTATCATCACACGTATTGTCCATGTTTTGGGAGCAGACAACTTAACTTTGTCGGGCAATACATAGATTTGTTTGCATGAAAATTTATTCTGACCCGGATAAGATAATACTCTTTGTCCGGGGGTCGAAATCTCTACAGTGAATTTACAGAGAATGTGTTTGAAGTCACCTCCGCTCTCATAACTTAACCCAATCTCTGTCTTACTAGCAGGTGCATGTTTAAGTCCTATACGCCAACGAGTATTTTTGATTTTCAGTTCCGATGAATAAAACCATTTATTAGAATCCAGATGTATCAGCTCAAGATCAAATGCGTGCTCGAGAATATCATCATCTACATCGTTAGACAACTCTCCAAGTAATTGGTATAAAAGATCGATGTTAATACATGCTGGGGTAAATCTTGCTGTATTTAAGCTTGGTAAAACATCGGAAGAATCACAATTCGTCTCTGTTTTTAAAGTCATTAAACTCTTGATGACATCTTTAGAGTTAACTACAGATTTATCTTTCATAAGTTCTTTTGTATAAACCAGTCTGCTCTGAATTTGATACATCTCACTCTGCCTTCTCTCTAGAAATTTCACAAGCTTAGTTCGTTCCTCCGTTTTCGTTCTTCTTAGCTGACTTTTGAAATTGTCCCCCAGTTTTTGGGTGGCATCACAAATCTTTTTGATTTGTTCGTCGACCTCTTCACAAACATCTTCAGTTGCGTCATCATATACGGTTAATTCAGTTTTAACGGAGTCGGCGTTGCCTTGGATTACTGAAATTCGTTCCTCTAACTCCCGCCGAAGTTGGTGTACTTCTTTCTCTAAGGTAGACTGAACCTTCCGTAAATCTTCAACGTTATGGTCTCGGTGATGGTCTTCCATACATTTACAACAGATCTCTTGGCTACAATCTGAGCAGAATTTATCCATAG